TACGAAAAAAATACAACAAGCGACAAAATGATATAAAACTAATAACACCGCGAACGAATTATGGTAAAAAATCAATAATGTATGAAGGCTCCAAATTATATAATAAATTACCAAAGGACATAAAAGAAGCCAAATCTATGAGAACTTTTAAAAAAATTCTAAAATATTATTTGACCAAATAGTTAAAGGGTTTTCAAGTTGAAACTTACTAAAATTATAAATTCTTCCATTGGATTAAGGATTAAGTTGCTAATAAATATCTTTAACAATAATAATAAACACCAACAAACAATAAAATCAAATACTTTTAGTCAAAATCAAATAACATAAAAACTCAGCAGTCATGTCGATAGGTACGCGTGAGCCACATCCAGTAATACATATTCGAGTATAAACTGTGCCACTATCTTGCCGACGTACGTTACCGAGTGTTACCGATGTATCACGAAGTTGAACGAACGCTTGCAGTTGCTATGCACTCGTGCCACTGCTCGTATTAGTGTTTTCCTTATGTTTGTGTATGAGACTAAAACTACCTTCATCGTTTAATAATGTTATTCAATGGGTGTTATTTTTGTTTTTGTGTGTACTTAGTGAAAATGCAAGCCCATCTATGTATATTTGTGAAAATTATATTTATATGACTCATGTAAGTGAATGTTAAATTCTTATGAGTTAAATAAAGATCTTAAACCTCAATTCATAATAATCGAGTTGCGTTTGCGTTACTCGATTAATCCGAGTTATCAGATTCATAACAACACCGACAATTCTACTTTGGTTTAACGTAATGAATTGACATTTAGAGCCTACAATTTGTGCTGCCATCTAGTGAAATAAATTTTAGTAGTTTCTTTATTTTTTTTTAAAATATTTCCTCATTAACATTTTTGTAATGAAATATCAGCTCTGTAAGTATAATATAGATAAAGAAAAAACAATGATTTCTTTACCACCTCACTAGTATTAAAAAATGTGGCAATATTAGGTATTTTACAAAATTACATTAGGGAATGCCATTTTACTGCATTTAAATAAAAGATATGGAGGCCCAAATTGAATAATCGATTCGAATGAACTCAGATCACCTCCTCCCTAATCATGTCCGTCATCATGACAGATCAGCGACATTGTAAAATTTCGGTAAAGCTATGTAAACAAATATCAAGTATTTATTAAAAATCCGATTGTGATTTTGTTTGAATTGTTTAAAAACTTTAGCGGTTAAATCTAGGAATAAATAGGAACTTAGATAAGTGTAATTGAATAATAGAAAAATGCAAGGACGTCCCAAATTTATTAGACCGGGTAAGTGGACGAAATATAGAATTTTAATGCTGCAACTAGATTCTGTTGATATGTTTTGATTGTACAAGTTTGATTTAGTAGGTACAATTACCTACTTATTAATTTAATATCTTAAAAGGAGAATGGGCAAAAGTCGGCTAAAATTACGCAAAATTGCGCACTACGCATTTATTTATCAAAAATGTTCTCTTCAATTATAATTTTTTTCTATATAAATACTATTTTAAAATTATGCGGCATTTAAAATGAACTCTATTAAAACAAATATTAAATATCTACTTCAATATAACTATGCTACCTACTAAGTTTTAAAGTTATGAATTGACTTGACGTGCGACTAATTCTACTAATTTTACTAAATAAAGTATTTTAACTCTGATAATGTTGGTATTAGTATATATTGGTCAAACAAAAACTAATATCCTTTACAATAAAAAATTAAAGCTTTCCTTTTTATAATATAGGTATGTACTTATTCGCAGTTAAATATTTCTGTCTGTTAGTTATCAATTATTTGAAATATCTACATAATTATTTTTTTTTGCTTTTATATACATAGATATTATAACAATATAACCTCAAAATCTCTGTTAAATATTCAGATATTCTCCGACTCCGGCACAAATTTAAAATGCTTTTTTTCCTACTCATTCTAGAAATAATTATCTATTGTTTACCGTTGGTTTCAACAAGGTGCACAGTTATACAAAAATAGCTGAACTCTCATAGTAAAGTGCCCATTCTCCTTTATAATTATCTTACTTCTTTTAAAGTAAGTATGTAAGTTCTTATTAAATCTTGACATCCTTTTTCATAACAATTTTCTATTACTCAGTAAAGTAGGTTCAAACAGTTGAGAAGTAATAGTTAATTTATTCCAAAACTTTCAGGTGATGATGATTTGCTATATCCGAAACGCAATAAAGATGGAGTAATAGAAACATTAGTGAATCCGAATGCAGATACAGCATTGACTTTAGACAGTGATGCTAGAACGAGCTTTGTATACAACCGTTATCACCATTTGCCACTCGAGACACAGCGGTTGAAGTTGCCGGTGTTCCAATACAAAAACCACATACTGTATTTGCTAGAGAAATATCAGACTTTGGTGTTGATTGGTGAGACTGGATGTGGAAAATCAACACAAGTGCCTCAGGTAAGTTTATGCCATGCATTTGTGATATTTTAATAGGGAATTAAATGTGTCTGTAAAATAATGGTTACTGTAATTACCATAATGCTCTGTAGAAGTAATTCATCATTCTTACTGAGTTGCTCATCACACTGGGAACTATCGGAAATTACATATCTGCTGAGATTATCAACTTAGGTGTACTGGTTAGGCTACATCTAGGGCACTTTTTGGTTCTTATGCAATGTCTGCTGAGTAGCGCAGTCATTGTTCCAAGACAAGGATACATACAATATGGCAGTAAAATACTGGAACAACACCCATAAAAATATCTTAACAAAGTAAAATATCAATGAATGTAGACTAATTAAAAAGTGTAATTTTGCCAACAACAAAAGACACTGCTACAACTCTTATGAGGTTATGAGAATAGAGGATTTAAAAAAAATTAGATTCATGTCTAAGAACAAAAAGGATTTTTTTACCAGTTACTGCATTGGTTCAAAAAATCCACACAAATTATAGTGACTGTTTCATCCAATTATTATTATTATTATAATCAGACTAGATAGAGCGTATGATTGAACCGTTTCCAAACGATTTCATCACTCACCATGCCATACCATTCCCCAAAAATGAGTGCCCTAGCTGTTTCCTAGTTGGCCTTTATGGAAGGTCCTGGATTCATATGCTGTAAACATAGATACATTAGTTTTATGAGCTTAGCATATACAATAATAAGATCAAAATACTGTGGCAGACTCAGGGGTGATTTATTATCTTTAATAGTATAGATTATTAATTCAGAATTCATCATCATCACCAGCCCTTTTACGTCCCCATTGCAGGGGCTCAGGCCTTCCTTATGGATGGTTAAGGAGGATGGGCCATGACCCTCCACGCTGGCCCAATGCGGATTGGAGGGTATTAACGACTGCAAATGCAGCCGGGACCAACGGCTTAACGTACCTTCCGAAGCACAGAGTAGCTTGAGATAATAATTTTTGGGTCACCCATCCCGTGACCAACCCTTGCGAAAGTTGCTTAACGACTATCGCGGGCCGCGGCGCTTATCCACTACGCCACCGAGCTACTCAAATAATAATAAACAATTCAGAATTGATTAAATATAATACATCTATACTAATATCACAAAGAGAGGAAACATTTGATCGTTTGTTTGTTTGCAACGAATAGGCTCCGAAACTTCTGGGCCGATTTCAAAAATTCTTTCACCTACAGGTAGCTACATTATACAGGGTTGACATAGGCTCTATTTGTTTGTTTTTTTTTTATTTTTTTTTATTGAAAAGCCTCCGAAGCTACTGAATGGATTTGAAAATTTTGTCATCAACTGCATGAACGCGAAGTTACACCATTGCGGGTGACATTAAGCTATATTTATGCGGAAGTCGCAGGGAAATAGCTATAAACATATTTCTATGCAATTGAGAGATAGACATTCAAAATTTTTTCTTTAAATAAAATCACGAATGGATAATTCATAATATATTTAATCAAAATCTCTTTAAAAGTATGAAATTTTGTTAATTGTTACATTTGGCGTGGACGTCAAGATAGCAGGCGCACCAACGAGTTTGAGGATATTACGGGGTATTTTATAGCATGTAATTAGTGACACTGTAAATTAACTCATGAAGATCCTAGTGTGCCTGCTAACTAGACGTCTAGGTAGCAGGCACACCAGAAATATGATTTGTTTGAGTTCGAATTGCATGTCAAAAAATTGTGACTATTAGTGACTTCTATACCACGAACTTTTATATCAGTCACTTCAATAGAATTCGAGATATTTCTGATTATTGGTGTGCCTGCTAACTTGACGCTTAAAGCCACGGCCATTACAAAAAAACGGGTAGGAATTTGAAGCTAATAAATACACATAACAATTTTGTCTGAAATTGTGATTCTGGTGATAAATATAAACCCAAAGATTTCTTTATTATTCATAAAAATCCATAGAGTTGTCGATCCCTAGTATAGAGCGCAGTAAACAGTTTGGTTTGGTTAAGTAAAAAAAAAATAAGTCTTTTACCCTGTGCCCCGTTTCGTAGACTCTAACTCAGCTATTCGTGACAATTTGAAATTCATAATAGCCACAAATTATGCAAATCAATGGTATTGTTTTTCCACTTTCACTATTGTGTAAAAGTGTAAGTAATTCAAAAAGGTTTTTCCACGTTTCATATTTCTTATCAATCTTTTTTTTTTGTCTATTATTAGGTGTTTTCAGTCTCACAATTTTATTTCATAATACAAACGCAAATATGGAACAGTTGATGATATTGCATATAATGTAATGTAACATAATCTCACAACAGATACGAGTTCAAAAGCGTTATTAATGTTATTAAAAAAAATTAACACAAATGTAATTCCGATATCAACAAACGTGTCGAACGTGCAAGACGACGAAAAACAATGGACTTTACTCGTCGGGGTTAAGGTCACAGGTTGCGTAGGTAGCTTGCACCCTCCCCTAGCGCTGCAATAGCCTTCTCTCGTTCGTTCTCATTTTATTTTCCGCCATCATTCCGTTCGCCGCGTCCGTGTGGTGCGCACGCATATCGCTCCCCCTCATAACGGCCACACGAACGGTGACAATAATAACTGCGTTAAGTGTATAATCACTTCGGGATGTTTTCACATTACTCATCGCCTCAAAGCGATTGTTTGTTTTGTCTCATAAACAAACCCTTGAATTCATATTGCACCAGAATGGAACTGATGTCGCGGTGAATAGAAAATATGTAATGGTCCGGGATATCCGGACCAATATACATCGCAACTGGGAAGAAGATTATTGGAACGAGAGCTGTGATTTGGTAAACTTATATGTACAAAAAACCGTTTGCCTTGGTTACTTAAATATCGAAGTGCTCAAGTGCTGTGCTCCTGTGATTATTTTAGTGATTTCGAAAGAAGTAGTGTCTCTGTCGGAATAGTAGATCGCCCGCTGCATTTGACTCTCATTCACGACGTGTGTCTATTTATGGCGTTGGATTTACTGCAGCGTTATAAAATGAAGCCTTACACAACGATTCGTATGTGCAACGGAACGTGTTAGCTGTCCTCGAGGAACCACCGTCATCGGATTGTACCATTATTCTTAGTGACTCAAAATGATGTGGCCTTCGTCTCAAGCCAGTAAAATACTGACTTTCCTTCTATTTCTCATAGTGATATATTGTGTTAACATGGACACTTTCCTATTTTTAAGAATTCAAAATTATAAAATTGATACTTTCGAAACGCGGGAAAATTCAACGCTACAAGAGTCGTCGACTCATACAGTTGATACCTTACAAAATTATGAAGACGCGACATGGGTACCGTGCAGTATCAATCCACTTTGTCATCCGACAGTTAAGGGTCTGATGGTGGACCATATAAACCATTATATATACGGTCCATTCAGTGCCATAGTCGACGTAAGTGTTCAACTGTCAGAAAAAATGTTATTTATAACACCGAACATGATATCGGTCTTTCACGTGTTCATTGCAATTTTAGGTGCTAAGCTGTTGACATGTCCAAATTTAGTAGCCCGCCGCATAGCTGTAGTGTTGTTTCAGATTAGAATGTTCCTAGACGACCTTGACGGTCACGTGGCTAGAGAGAGAAAGCATATCAAAGGTGAAAGGTCAGAAGTAGGCTCATTGGGATATTGGGTCGATGGAATCTGTGATTTATTAGGTGTAGTTTCCATGATGGTCGGGATAGGTTTATATTTAAGGAACAATCCGCCTAGAAGGGGTTACAAAGGTATCCCAGTGAGTACACTGCCGTACCATCAATTAAAAGAGATAAATTCTACAGAAGATATAGAGAAAAATAGCACAGCGGAGATAGGTATATCGTATAAGACAAAAGTCACTTTCCAGAGAATAATACAAGTGATAGGACTTTTTTCCGGTCAAATGGTAATATCTTCTTTAGCTTGGAATAGATATATAGATATTTATCAGGAGTTACTCGAGAATTGCACAGAATGTGACGTGTATAAAAGAATGTCTAGCTTTAAGTCTGGAACTTTTTTCTCAGCAACTCTGATGTGGAGAATAGTAAATCCACACAGCTATTTGCATCTGCTTTCTTTAGCTGTTTTCTGTGATAAAACTTGGGGTTTCCTGAAGTCTGTCCACTATTTTGGATATTTAGTTCTAGTGGTCGCTGTTGGTTTATCTGAGTATTATGTGGAGTGTGTGAGGGCTTATATATTAGGCAGTATTGAGAATTTATGATAGGATAATTATATTCCTATTGGAGTTACACGTATGTTGTCTTTAGGGAATCACCGGAGTCACTTTCCGTGATTCATGTGTTGTATGTATTGCCGCCGCTAATCCAGGTATTTCAGTAGATAAAGCGTATTAGACTTTAATCCCATTTGATTAGACAGTAGCCCCTTAAACAATGTTAAATTCTTTATGTTTGAAGTCAGCTCCGTTAAATTTAATTATGTTGTAATTTATTACACTATTTATCAGATTTAACAGTCTCGGATGTCTTTTCGCATTTCGGACGACATTTTAAATGCAAAATCTATCTTATATTTTTGAACTAAAGCGAATGCCATGCTCAGTATATTTCTATTTACGGTAAAATATAGCAAATACAAGTTCGTGTTCACTATTAAATTTTACAACGTGAACCGGTAAATGTAGGAAGTAGAACAATTACATCGTTAAAAAATAAACAAAAAGGAATACATAAAAAATATACATAAAGATCTTATGTACGTCGTGAAAGATAATATTTTCGATAATAGTTTCTATTTGTTTGTTAGGTTCGCTAATGAAGAGTTATTTGAACATATTTTTATAAACTGTAATTTAAAAAATGTCTAGATTGATTGACTCTTATGAACGGCCATTTCGAAAGTTGCTTACCAATCCAATGTTAGTGGTATGTCAAAGTACTTTCTAATAGGGATGCCGACTAATTTTTGTTCGTTTGTCCGTCAGGTAGTGTTAAAAAAATATTAAACAAGTATTTTTCATTTTTTTCGTAATCATAAAATTACGGCGTTGCATTGAGTTGAAATTTCGCATGACGTCACGTTATGGTATGTTTTCGACTAAACTGTGTCGTAGCGAGCCACCATTCCTCAACTTTAATGTTATCTAAGCTATATCTTGTTAAATTGAAGTAAAAAAATACGTATCTAATATTTTTCTATTATCTGACTGACGGACTAAATGGAATTGCATTTTTTTTACCCAGTCGTAATCCCTATTGTCCAACTCTTTTTGCCTACCTCGTTGAGGGCGTCTTGGATAGGACGAACAAGCAATAAACTGACCAGCTCTTTAGAAGTAACGAGATTTGCAAAACCCATGTCATTATTAGTTCAATTTAAATAATACGAATTAATTTGTAACTAATAAGGAAGGAAATATATATGAATAAACGTATTATCCAAAATAATTAGTTCGAATAAAGCTACTAAATTGAATTAAGCAAATGTTTACCTTATTTTTGTCGAGATATTCACTAGAAATATTAAACTGCCGATTAAAGGCATTGATCTAGGTTATTGGACTCGGCTGTCACTTATAACGGAGGGCATGCCCGGAGTAAGTAAGCGATAGGCCCGCAACTCTTTGATCCAGTCAGGGACAGAACCTCACACTTCATGCCGTCCTGTCAGGCAACAGGGAAAGAGCGTAACGCACATTCCCCGGAAAAAAAGTGACAGTAGACATTAAACATGAGAGTAGATTTTGCATGCACTCATCATCTTCTTCAACGTTCCATTAATAATAGTATTTGAACAGTTCTGAAACATTTTCATAATACCTGAGAAAGGTCGACAAAGCGTCTGATTAACCAATATCTTTTAGCTTTCTAGTTTGTCCTGTGACATAATGGCATCAATAAAAGACAACCTTTTTTAGCTTTATCTCTTCAATTTTATTTATTTATAACACATTAGTTTTACTATCTGTAAACTTAGTCATACCAGCCAGTTATTGATGCCGTATCTCATTATTACCATTTTATCTATAAGTGTACAACCCGGCACAGTATAAATTGTGTAAATTGCAATTAATATTTTAGCGATAGGAACGATAATAAGGATCGTGGCCCTACTATCGTCGGTTGGTGACAATCGTGTTTTACGCAAATGTGGTGTTTTATTTTTGTATCGCTCGATTTATATTCTTTCTACGAGTTATGTCACACTCGATTCTTGTCACATGTGGCTGTTTTTCCGCATTACTGATAATTCGTCTTAGTCGTTCTAGTACGATATAAGAGTTATGTCACACTCGAATCTTGTCACACGTGGCTGTTTTTCCGCATTACTCGGTAGTTCTAGTACAATAGAAATATTGAACTTTATTCGTTACACGCAGAAAAATTTATAACAAATAAATTATGTCAAAGAAACTGTATATATTTTAGATTTATAGAAACTAATTTCGCTCTATAATAAAGAAGAAGTGTTACTCTGCGAAATTAAAGTACTGGTATAGTAATTAGGCTCCGAAGCTCTCCTAGGATCCTGGATCCTTAATCATGAGGGTAAAAGCACTGGTATAGGTATGAAGTTCTTTCGAGTGTGGTATAGCTCGAGTCTCTTGTCTCTGATTCTACATAACATTGTAAGAGTTGTTGCATAAATACGTTTAACGCGTAATAGTTAAAATTAAAACTAGTAGTAACTAAACGAGCGTTGATGCGAGTCGAATGGTTCAAAATAGAACCTAAAGTCACATTCCGGTTTCATAAATAAAATGTATTGTCAATGATTCATAATGTTGATTAATAGGTTGAATATAAATCTTATTGTTATTATAAAATGTAACATTTCAGAGTAACGACACAATAAAGTGTTTATATTTCATTTAAATAATATCTGTTATGTGTGTTTGATGAAATGGCGAAATATATTAATTGTTACTTATAAAAAAAATGTCTATTGATTTAAATTATTCAGAAGTCAGCCAAACATTATCTTTAGGCGTATTTGTTGTCTAATTTTATAAGAGATCTGTCATATTTAAAAATTCTTTGCTAATGAACGTGATACTAAGCGCAAAATTCTATAACTGTGGAGTAAACGTTAAAGTCCGAGGAAGAATTTACACGATTGTTAAGAAAAAAGAAATCCAGAATTCTAAATAATAATAATAACACTTAATTTGTCTAAGTAGGCGGTAATAAGTACACTTGTTGCCTTAAAAAAATCGTATGATCTTTACGGTTAGTAGTGAAAGTAGTCATACTTCAGCGTAAAATTAATGAAACTTGCACGGTCATTAGGTAAGTTGCACAAACGTCCATTAAAGTTTAACGACGACTTTAAGCTCTAACGAATGACAAATTTGTATGGGTAATGTCGCTTCAAACTAATGAAAATTTTAATGAACGTTTGTGCAACTGGCGGATTATGTTGTTGTATTTAATCAATCTATAAGGATTTAGATCATTGCTTCAAGGAGCTATAAGGTTAGGAATTTAAATGAAGTCAGAATAAACGTCCGTTATTAGCTGCCCCCGCACGCAAGGGTTGTCAAAACGTTAGCTAATTTGATTAGACCCAGCCTAACAGCTTTATATGAAATGTCAAAATATCATAATACTCTTGGATATCGCTATTCTAAAATAGCACGCAATCAATTATAGTTATCAACCAGGAACATGTTTTTTTTTTAATGTAAGAGTAATTAGGAATTGTCGAAATTTTAAATAGCATTGAGCATTTCTGATTCTTTATTATTTATAAGCAAAATTCTAAGTCATTCAAATAATAAAGGTTTTTCCCATTTTTATTGTAGATAAATTATTATTTTTCATACGAAAAACGACTGTATTTATGAACTAGATTTTGCCTGCGACTTCGTCCGCATTTCTATCGAATATTTATTCATTATATCGCGTGAAATACTTGTAATAAAGTTTCATTTATCTAAATCCTTTCCTAGGGGATGCTTACGTCATATTAGCTTACGTCAATCGGTTTAAAATTGACAAAGTTTCATACAAACATTCATCCCCTATTTTATTCCCTTGGGGATAGAATTTATCAATATCCTTTCTTAGCGGATGCCTACGTCATAACATCTACCTGTATGCCAAATTTCAGCCCGATCCGTCTAGTGGTTTGAGCTGTGCGTTGATAGATCACTATCGTCCGGTTTCTGAATTGAGAATTTGAAGTTGAACACGTCTCAAACCGTGCTTAAGCCACTTTAAATGTCGTTAAAACATGTTTTCATTGCTGATTTATAAATTTTTAATTATCAGTTGTTAGCAATTTGATAAATCTAATACTTTTTGCCATATGAAACGTAAAAAAACTTAATTTATTAAGAATAATCAGTTGAGATTTTGTACTTTCTCAATTCAGAAACCGGCCATATGTCAATCAGTCGTCTTTGAGTTATATATACTTAGATTAGATACAAGGATTATTATTACCTTATGTGTTTTCTCTTCCTACTCCGCAAGGGATTTGGTGTGAAAATATAGAAGAAGAAAAATACCCAAATCGTCGTGTAAATGTTATCAATTTCGTATTCACTAAAAATTAAAATGTATTTATATTGTAAAAAAAAATAAGAGAGCAATTTGATTTTCAGTAATGTTGATAACCCTGCGACGACATCGTAAAGTATACAACTTTTACCTCTGTGTAAACGGAATAGACTATTATTTTGTTTGTACGGGGAAAATGCATGTCTGTGATCCTATCAGCTGGTTTGGATCGAACACGTGTCACATGATTATAGACTTTGATACTCGCTGTAGTTATAAAAATGTCTATCGCCAATAAAATTATAGATTATCTAGTAAATTTTAAATCGATATTATACGACCTTTGTTTTTATTATTTCCCTATTGAAATATTTATCATTTTTGTGTACAGAAAGTTTATTATATTTGAAGTCCTTTGTTCTATTTTATGATGGTCCCAGTTTTTTGTTTTTTAAATAAATAATGGATAATTTGTGTATTACTCATACAGAGACCATTAGAATAAGGATACCATTCCAGACAACCCATTTATTAAATTACCCATGGGAATAGGCGCGCGTGTAGCTCAGTACAAACACCAGAACATTAGATAACCACAAAACGGTAAATGTCCAATGTCGATTTTGGACTTTACAGGTACCTTAATAAGTTCAATACATTTCTAATATCTAATAATAAGGATTTCCAATCAATTGAAGATATTTGATATTCTTATATTTTTTAATTTGATATATTATTTGATCGTATTTTTTCTTGTCATCAGTGTTTTTGATTATTAACGCAGTTCATTTTTAATTGCTTTAAATATAACTTATGAAAGGCCCTTTTCTTTCGTTCTTCACTCTGAAAAAGAGGAATGTGTTGCTCTAATTAGCCTTTTTTATTTTATAATTTCAATATTTGTTTTTTTAATTAAAATAAGTAGATATTCAGTACCTCAAAACTGGGACCGCGAAGCAAATGTACGGGAATTTGACTAACCCCTTCAAAACTGGGACCGCGAGTCAAACGAGCATTTGACTAGTTTCTGAGTTTTAATTATTGAAGAGCAGGCATAAGAAGTAGGCAAAGGTTTCAAATTGTAGATACACCTAAACGCAAGCCGGAGTCATGGAAAAATGTAATAGTTAAAAATAATGTTATGTTGTGTAGATAGATACATAAACAATATTACGCCAACTAATATGACTCAAGAGTTAAAAAAAAATGCATTTAATTGACCTAATTATTAATACTTCATAAATAATTTACTTGTAAAATATGCAAGAGCGAGTAATACGATGCTATCGTATCTTTTTCTAGCAAAGTGACAAGAGTATGAAAAAAATTACGATTTAATTTATAAGCAATTTTCCTATAAGAGGGAGAGGGAGTAAATCTCTCATTTATTATTTAAACAATGTTTTTGTACATAATTTAGCGGGTAATCAGTTGAACCATTAATCATTCAAAACGAGCTTACTAATAGAACAAAACACGGATTTTTGAAAAAGTACACATTAATTTTATATTGTTCTTGATATATATATTAAAGTTGACAAATCAAAACCTAAGTGAGTTCTAGATTTTTGATAGCGACATCTGTTGTTGTAAATATGAAAGTTCAATATACAATCACAAATCACAAATTAAACAAATTTAGGTACATATATTATACAGTTGATCCATTTGGATTATATAAAAAGTATACAATATTATAAGTATTTTTATGTTTGTTGGAGACAAGGAAAGCTATGTAAAACGTTATTTTGAACAGATTCTAGGACTTTATTTAACTGTCAATTAACTGGTCACTCGACGTTGATAAATCAAATACTTTAATGCCTTTTGTATGTTAAAGACCAATTAAAGACATTAAATACCAGTTAATATGACATAATGTGGTAACCTTGTTATTAGTTAAATGTACAGTAACATTATTTTTTAGACATAATATATTTATATTTCACTTTGATTGTTTTAATGACCTCTGATGAATGCTTACGCTATGGGTTTAATTATCACATTTTGAAATTTAATATCGACTGCGTATTTAGGTAATGGCTCTTTAGCGTTGGCTACCGAGAATTGAACATTTTCATGTCGAGTTTATATTTCGTCTAATCGATTAGCTATCGAGTGTCGTCTGCGTTGCTTCGTAATAAGACCGCTTTAATGGGCGTTATACAATGCTTGTTTGGGTTCGTCCCACGCGCCAATTTTAATTGGTAAACTCGCACTTTAAAAAGGTAAAATGTTAGTGATATCGTAAGCGACTATATCACGTTCAATTTTCCAATGATTTTTGCCCAGCCAACACATAAGCCAGATAGTAGCGTAAATATACCACAATAAGCAGTATCAAGCTTTATTACTTTTGTATTACAGATGACGTTATGGCTTTATTTTGAATAAGAGAATTTTAAAATTAAAATAATGTTGTAAGCTTACTAAATTCTGTATAAAGCTTGCGGTATTTTTTGAAGCTGAATAGTAAGCAAGAGTAGAATCTGTTAAACAAGCGATATTCAAATAAAAGTAATTGAAACAGCTATTATCTGCACAGTAGCTGAATTTTTTGCATTGTCTTGTATGACATATTTAAGCAAAGCAGTTAAACAGCAAAACGCTGAATATTAGACGAAATATTTTCTTTAAGCTGCATAGTGTACGAAATGGTACCAATTTATTCAGATGCTGAATATTTTAGATTTTTTCTTCTTTACACAGCTGACTTCTGCATAATTGAAAATAAACTCCTTGTTTTACCTAACTTATAGCGCTATAAGCGTACAATTGTCTTTGTGTTAAGCTTAAAACAATATCAGTTACAAATGTGGGTATCTTAAGCAGCAAATAACTGATTAGTTGAAGATATCGTATGTTTATATCCAGATATTTCACAATTTTGTGATAAAACTGATAAATACTGCATCATTAATATGCCTCCTCAGAAAAATAATAACAAAAGCGTAAATGATTTATTGAAAAAAATAAAGAGAACGGGAGGAATAAGAAGAAAGTGTTCACGAGAGTATGAAAAGATAAAAAATAGTATCTGTGCAGTAATAGAAAAGGGTTTGACATTGTTTGGCCCGGGTCAAGTGCGACCAATACAGTTGAAGAGGGTTCTGTACACGATGATTGTGCATCACCATCAGGATTAGTGATTCAAACAAATAGACCGGGTCCAACTTTAGGTGCAGATAACGAGAGTTATATGCGTGACAAGTTTGCGTATCAATCACAATTTTATAGTGATTCAAGTTCTACAGATTTGGAAGAAAACTCAGAATTTAATAAAAAATATTATTATTATCGTGCGTATCAGTTCTGTTCAACATTTGAGATAATTCTTCCTCAGCTTTCCTCAGGTTTTTGCAAAGTAGCTCGCCTTTTTTTTGGCCAGTATAATATTCCTTTGTTTTCCCTAGAAGCGGGCACTGT